GGGTGGAAGGGCCTGGCGGGTTTCCAGCCGCAGCCCTGTTCTGGCACTAATTTTCCGGTTTTCCTTTAAGGCGCTCTGGTGGCGCAGTACATAACGTGTTAGGCTGCCAACCAGAAGCCTAGCAGTTCAAATCCACCACTTGCTCCCCTGGGGAAAGGGGACATTGTCTTCCTTTAAATTATAGCTTGGGATTTCCGGGGGGGAATACTCTCCATGATAGCAGCGGAGCTTTTCTAAGAGGCCTAGTGAGGGGATTCAAATCTCATAGTCGTCTCAGGGAAGACTGGCACGGTCTCCTTCCCCGAAGAGGTTTGCAGCTTTGGAGTTGTCTAAATGAGTTCACTGGCCGTGGGTTGTTCTTTGCCTATCCAAATGTGCCAACCTGCTTAAGTCATGAACTTGGCGGTGGCTTACGAGCTAGGATGGTAGGGGGAATGGACACTGTTAATGCTACATTGTTTTTTATTTTTATGTTGATTTGCTGACAAAATTACTGCGTTTTATAAAGCTAATCTCCGTTGAATTAAGGCCACCATTACCCCATCTTTTCAGAATTTTGTCTTTTTATATTGATCATGTGATTTTTCTGCCAAACTAGGTTTCTAGTACAATTGGAATACATAACCTTTTAGCCTGATTTAGATTGTTGAATAGTGTGTATGGATTCTATTAACTTCCTTGAGTGAATAATCTCCTTACAGATGCTGGGCTTTTAATTTAGCTTTTCAGTAGATTGAACGGGTTATTTATTGACTTTTACAGACTACCAGTTCTAAGGGAAAGAATCTCAACTGAGAAATTCAATCATAAAAATGATCTTACCTGCATGGAAATTCTTAACAGTTGAGACTGGTGATCATTTGTATGTAATGGTGAAAAAAAGCAGTTGCCATGGTTGAAATCAACTGAAAATTGTTTTATCCTTTTTAAAAAATCCGGTCTTTTTCGTTTAAAGCAGTGGGTTGAATTGGAAAACCCTGAAATGAAGAATTAAGGTTTTTACTTGATGATAGTATTGTGACTAGAAATTATTGAATTAAATCCCTCCCCCCAAAAAGCCAATCTGATTCCTGTTCCTTTTTACAGGTTCCTGCAGCACTAGTGTCAGTTGTTGGTCCCGCCCAGAACACTCTGCAAGGATATATAATAATTTGTACAGTTAGAAGTAGTCATTCATTTCTTTGCTTGCCTTAATGTTTAGCAAGATGCACTGCTTATTTTTCAATGAACCACATGTACTAGTGCTTTAATTGTTTTTTAACAGATTGGTGTGTCTGCTTAGCACAAGAAAATGGAAACTGAACAGCCAGAGGAAACCTTCCCCAATACGGAAACAAATGGTGAATTTGGTGAGATTTGTGTTTTCTGTTCTTTTAACTGCCTTATAAGTGGGTGTTTGTAGGAAGTTGTCTTTTACACAGAATGTCATTCCCACAGTAATTTCTGTTTAAATTTTTTTCATTCTGATATAAAAAAAAATTACAACTGCCTTTTATAATTGACCTTAAGGACAAGGCTTTTCTAGCAGATCAGATTTCATTTAAACTTAGGTTAAAATTAAAATATTGCTAACATAAATGCCACATCTTGAAAATTTTGGTTTTTATTGTTAATTTCTAGGTAAACGCCCTGCAGAAGATATGGAAGAGGAGCAAGCTTTTAAAAGATCGAGAAACACTGATGAAATGGTTGAGCTTCGTATTCTGCTTCAAAGCAAGGTATATGTTTTATGTTAAATTGCAAGTGTTTTCTACTTACACAGAAATTTGTATTGATCTTCCTCACCTTTCTGCCTCCAACAGACAAGGGGCTTTTGTTTTACTAATTAAAATAAAATTTCTTGCTGTAATGGAGGACTGCGAAAGGGTAGATGATGGTTACATTGTATTTCTCTTAAAATATCTCAGGCTTTGTGCATTCTGATAATTCTAAAGATGTTTTCCATAAAATGTTACAATTTTTTTGGTCCAAATTTGTAGTCTTGCTTTTATCCTAATGGCTTTAATATATCATGAAGTATATTTTAAACAGTTCAATAGGGCTTGGGGGTAATTTAAATAGACTGTAGAGAGAAAGGCATTTATTACATTTACAGAAAAACAATACTTCTTATCATTGTTTTATTTTTTTTTTGTTTTGTTTTTAAATTAACCTTTTCCAGAATGCTGGGGCAGTGATTGGGAAAGGAGGCAAGAATATTAAGGCTCTTCGTACAGACGTAAGTATTAAAGAGTTTAAAACTTAACACACAAGCAACTTCTGTTTACGTGCTCTAGAAGATGAGTTGTAGGAGTCACTTTAAGAGTCTAGATACAAGCCATTTGTAATGATTTATTTAGTCATTTTCCAGATTGGCCATTTTTACGTTACAAACCCCAAATTAAGTTAAGGGGGGTTTTTGTTTTGTTTTCGGTCGGTTTGTTTTTTTTGAAACTTTTTCATTTGCTGAAAGGATTCCACCAAATTACTCACTTTGTGTAAGATAAGATTCTGGGAAAATGACAAAGTGAAGAAACCCCAATTGCTCACCGTTCCTCTGATTTTATTGGAGAAACCCATTGCAGGTGGCTGATTAAACCTAGATTTCCAATTTATTTTTTTTAAGTCCATCTGTTCTTAACAGCTTGCACATGGAGCACAAACTTAAATGTTAAGGCTGCATGATTTTAAAAATAGAATTAGATACATTTAATTTGGGTGGTTGTTGGTTCTATCATTTGAGTCTTATAGTAGGTTGACTCTTGTGATTAGACACGTTGATTGTTGACTTCCACAGGAGTTAGCTCTTGTTAGAACTAGGTTACAACAGATTTACTAATTTTTTTTCTTCCGTGTACACATCCTCATTGTTTTACTTCTTGCTAAATTTGAGGCAAATAATAACTTTGTGTTTAATAACTTATTTGACAATATTTCATTTCTCTCTTGGTCGCAGATCTTTTGTTTGTTCTTCTTGATTACTGTAAACTGAACTTGAAAATTTTATAAACCTACCTGTTAGGACATAGAAAAGTATTATAAACCTCTAAGAACCCAAACAAGTCTTTTCATAGTTAGGGGTTTTGGTGGTATGAGAATTTTTGTTTCATCTTTTACAAACCTCTTTCCTCTTAATCCTGATGTTCTATGTAATCTGGGTTATAATACCCCCACTTCTTCAAGGATTTAAGTAAATTTTGAATCATGACAGGTTTTTGTGTCAACCCTCATGAGCCAGCCTGCTACTGAAACTTTTTTTTTCCAAGTAGCTAGAATCATCATTTACTGTCCTTAAATGTTAAACCACAGTCAGATATAGAGAAGTCCATTACTGTGTTAGTCTTCAGAACAACTTAAGCTTGTTTCATTAATTGAGAGTATGAGTATAGTTTGTATTAAATTAAAATTTATTGCTTTTCCCCCTTTTCCCTCTCCTTGTTTTTTTGGCCATATATCTCCGTTGCCCATGTACTGGATCGACTTACCCCTGCGTTGCCCACCATGACGTTGGCCCATCCGCCCCTGAACGCCCATGTGAAACCCTGGTTGGCTATGCCCAAAAATGTGCTCGTTGCCAAACGGGTACCATACTTGACAACTTCTGATTGAATGCCCATGCCCAATGCCAACATCCACGAACGCCAATGACCAATGCAGTACAATGCCAGTGTTTCAGTCCCAGACAGCAGTGGCCCCGAGCGGTATGTCCCAACAGTTTATGCCTCACTGCCTGATTAGAAAGAGAGAAATGTATTTTATTACCTGCCTTTTATATAATTAAATAGTATCCCCTTTAGACGGTGTATTGTTTTTCAAGTTTCTGTCTTATTTTCCCCATTAAGTCTTTTTGTCACTGAACTATGACCGTGAGTTGCCCACCCAAACGATCCACTAATTTTATTTCGATGGAAGGAGCACAGCTTCAAGTGTTGCATATTTGCTGCATTGTAAATCAAATTGTTACCGAAACAGTCTCTCGCTCTGTCTTTGTGGCCCACCTTGCTTCCCAACATTGTTCATAATTTTTTCTGATGAGATGCTAACTCTGGTTCACTTTCCTTCACTCCTCATTTGTGTTGTCCGTTTTGTCTTGCATTTATATTTGTTTTCTTGCAGAGCCCATTAGTGATCTAATTTCTAACTGGTATCCATAATCTTACTCCAAATATAGTGTTCACCACTTGCATATTCTCCCCCCCCCCCCCCCCCCACTTCGCATAAGAGAAGGTGTGCCAGTTAAACCAATGTAATAGCGAGGGTATTCTTAATTTAGCGGTGGCGGGGAACATAAATACCAACTCTGCTTCGGTTCTGGTCAATTTTATTGCCCACTTAATCTGAGCCCTTCCAAAAGCCCATTCTCTCTGTCTCTCTGCAAGTCTTCTAATATTGTTACCATGTTTGTATTGGGCATAAAACAAAATGCATGTGAAAAATCTGTAAGCTACTATAAATGGGGAGTATTACGTGTATGTTACTTCTCTGTGAACGTTTATATAACTACTGATGACAAACACAAAACTCATTTTTCTTTTCCACCTTTTTGTACTATCTGGTATTTGTGATGTTTGACAGCATATTGAGTATCAGTGCTGATATTGAAACAATTGGAGAGATTCTGAAGAAAATCATCCCTACCTTGGAAGAGGTGGGCTTATTTTTTTTATGTATTTGGCAATATAAGGGGAATTGTTTAATGCTTGTTTTACTTAGTTACAAATGGGGAGGTGAGATTAAGTTAATACTTGAACTGTTTTAAAAATTGTTTTGTAATACGCATCATTGCTTAAGTGACCTATTAAATACAGATAACAAGTTCTAAAATACAGTTACATGTTTTTGTCGACTTAAATTTTAGTAGAGGAATTGTTTGAGTATAAAATTTATGTGGCACTATTGGGAAGAAGGGTTGTTGCTACAAGTAGAGTGTTGGAAAGCATTTTGTGTTTATGTTCTAGATAAGCTGTTTATAATGTAGGTTTTATATATGTTGTAGTAGCTTTACCAATATATGCGACAATAGCCTGATCACACTAGACACTTAACCTGTTGCTCTTATTTTTCTACTTTCAGGGCCTGCAGTTGCCATCACCCACTGCAACCAGCCAGCTCCCGCTCGAATCTGATGCTGTGGAATGCTTAAATGTATGTCATAGTGCCATTGAACCCCACTGAAGTATGGAGCCTGGCCCATAGGATCGGTTTATTTTAACATAGTGCACTTTTCCCGTCTCTATAGAAAATGCTTAAAAAATGTGATAAATGAAAGCTCTTACAAGTCACTGTTGACCCTGCTCCATGCTGCAATGGGAATTAACTACATTTGCAAAGTGCTTTGCAGTCATTTTTATTATGGTGTTATTTGAATGTTAATAATAATTTTGTGGTAACAGCGACATGCTAAATGGCTGCAGTGTGGGTATGGTGTTGCAGGACCTGAAAATAAAATAGTTTTTTAAGGTGGTGCAGAATGTCCATTTTGGGCCTGGCTATTGAGGATAATATGCACATAACTGGTAAAGTTATTGAAATAAAAATTCAGGTTGCTCACTGCAACAGTATATTTTTATGCTTATAGCTGATAAGTGCATATTGGGGAATTCTTGATTTTGAACTGAAATAAATCTTCAATCTCCCTCTACAGTACCAACACTATAAAGGAAGCGACTTTGACTGCGAGTTGAGACTGTTGATTCATCAGAGTCTGGCAGGAGGAATTATTGGGGTCAAAGGTGCTAAAATCAAAGAACTTCGAGAGGTAAGCATCTTGTTTGTTTTCTGCCTTGTTTTTGAAAGTGAAAATAATTCTTGACACCTCATTGAGCTTGCTCTTTGGTATCCTTCTGTACAGTTTCTCTCTGTTTATACCCTTAACTAAGTTGCTTTTTTAAATAAAGCTTGGCGAAAATAGGTAAATTTATTTTACCCAGATTTGTGCACCTTGCAAAAAAATGTGCTGTGCCCTGTAACTACGTATAGAGTTTGGGGATGGTTGTGACCTTAAATTAATATGAACCTGGGAGACTTTTTACTGCATATTTCTTTTTACATCTTATGATTTCCCCCCTTCCCTTTCTCTCTGGACTCATTGCAGAACACTCAGACAACTATCAAGCTTTTCCAGGAATGCTGTCCTCATTCCACTGACCGAGTTGTACTTATTGGAGGAAAGCCTGATAGGGTTGTAGAATGCATAAAGATCATCCTTGATCTTATATCTGAGGTATTCAGAACATTTAAATTGATTGCAGTTAGAAATGTTTTGTTTTTACCCTCTTTTAAATTGTCTCTTGAAAGTTCTGCATCTGTTTTCTCAATAATCTACCTTCACCACATCTTAAAATTCAAAAAATGCTTTGGAAAGGTGTGAGGAATGGTTATTGGTGATATTTTTATAGTTTTGGGTCCTAAAGGAAGTTTTAGGAGTTTGGGAAGATAAAGGATCCCTTTATCTTAATAGTACCTTCTTGAACTTCCTAACCCTGAGCTGCTGTATATGTTCTTAAAGTCCACTGAGATGTGTCATTTTCCTTAAAATGGGGAAGTTTATGATCTCAAATGTTTTGTTGAAAGAAGGGTCACTGTGAACAAGAGTTTTCTTTGTAAAGTTATTCTTTTTGTTTTAGTCTCCCATCAAAGGACGCGCGCAGCCTTATGATCCCAATTTCTATGATGAAACCTATGATTATGGTGGTTTTACAATGATGTTTGATGACCGCCGTGGGCGACCTGTGGGATTTCCAATGAGAGGAAGAGGTGGTTTTGACAGAATGCCTCCTGGTCAGGGTGGGCGTCCCATGCCTCCATCTAGAAGAGACTATGATGACATGAGCCCTCGTCGAGGACCACCACCACCGCCTCCTGGACGAGGTGGCCGGGGTAGTAGCAGAGCTCGGAATCTCCCTCTTCCCCCACCACCACCACCAAGAGGAGGGTAAGCTGCTTTGTTGAAGGATTGGATAGCTTGGAGGATGCATCTGAGGACAGGTTTTTATGTATGATATGTTTACAGGGACTTAATGGCTTATGACAGAAGAGGGAGACCTGGAGACCGTTATGATGGCATGGTAAGTATGCCCTTATCAACATGTATGAATTTTATCGTTGTGGATGGTTAAAGCTTAGAAACATAAATGTGAGAAATCTTTACCTTAAGATAAGATTGCTACCCTGGTTATTTGGGTAGTTTGTTTAGAATTCAGTGGTTCTTTTTTTTCATGTTATTTTTATTTAACAGGTTGGTTTCAGTGCTGATGAAACTTGGGATTCTGCAATAGATACATGGAGCCCATCAGAATGGCAAATGGCTTATGAACCACAGGTTGAGTATCATGGTTTTTTACATATTAACCTGTGTTTTCTTTCCCTAGTTGTATTTTTATTTCTTTGAATGTTGTGTCCCAGAGTCATCCTCATTTCCTTCCCCTGAGGGTTTTATGTTTTATGAGTTTTACCTCAGAAACAAATTGGGGAGAACTTTTGATTCTTAAACTAAGGGACTTAAATTTAACGTGAGGAATTTTGAGAGCAAATTAATTTTTTGTTTTTGTTCTGTTTTATTTTTAGGGTGGCTCTGGATATGGTAAGTTTTCTCCTTTGTGATACCAAGCATTGTTCAATGCTTTCTGAATGAACTTGATGCTCATTATTCAAATCAGATTATTCCTATGCAGGGGGTCGAGGCTCATATGGTGATCTTGGTGGACCTATTATTACTACACAAGTAACTATTCCCAAAGATGTAAGTATTTATTGAATCTTTTTGTTCTTTCTGCTGTTTCTTAAATAATAACTTAAAATTTTTTTATTCCTGGATTACCGTTGAATTTTAAAACCCTTTAGGGTAGAAATCATTTTGTAGTTTTAATTGCTACAACTAGTCTTTGATTAGCTTATTGATGAGAACTTTGATGTGAGTTAGCATAAATAAATTTTTATTTGGAACTGCAAAATATTTGAAGTCTTTGGACTAGAACTTGGTACGTTTTTCTTAAATTTATGATAAGCACTTTGTTTCCCCTCCCCAGTTGGCTGGATCTATTATTGGCAAAGGTGGTCAGCGGATTAAGCAGATCCGTCATGAATCTGGAGCTTCAATCAAAATTGATGAGCCGTTGGAAGGGTCTGAAGATCGTATCATTACTATAACAGGAACACAGGACCAGATACAGAATGCACAGTATTTGCTGCAGAACAGGTCAGTTTTCTGTTAAAACTATTAAACAACTAAACATTCTGAAACTCTAAAAGTTTTCCTTCTGAATTTTTCTTTTTAGAAGCCATGGTGTCTCAGACTTTTGGAGACCTAACTTCTAAACGTTCTAATAGCTTTGCTTTCATTTTCCTCTGCTTTTCTTACTAAAAATGAAGATTTTCAATACTAATCTTGCTGGAAGAAGCCCTAATCAAGCAAACCTCTTTTCTCTGGTGAAAACTGCTGCCAAAACCACTCGTTAAAATTAATACAAAACCTGTAGAAAACCTAGAAGATCATGGATGTTGGTCTAGTTCTGTGTGGAAGACTAGTGATTTTGTTGTTTTTAGATAACTAAATTGACAACAAATCACAGTCTGCCATATGGCACAGGCCATGCCTCTACAGGACAGATGATTGGTGCTGTTAATGCAGCATTTCACACCTGACTGGCATTTCTTGTCTTTTCTATCAAATATATTAACTTTAATTCTGTTTTCTTGATTGTAGTACTAATATCTAACTTACTATTAATCACCTTTCTTAATTGGACACAATTTTAATTTGTATTTGCTTGTTTTTAATTCTTTCTAAATAAACATTTGTCATTTTTAGCATTGAAATTATCTTATGTTGATTACAATATTACGCACAAAAATTCTAATTCGTACTTTTTTTTTCTTTTCTTTTATAGTGTGAAGCAGTATGCAGATGTTGAAGGATTCTAATGCAAGATATTTTTTCTTTTTTATAGTGTGAAGCAGTATTCTGGAAAGTTTTTCTAAGACTAGTGAAGAACTGAAGGAGTCCTGCATCTTTTTTTTTTTTTTTTTAATCTGCTTCTGTTTAAAAAGCCAACATTCCTCTGCTTCATAGGTGTTCTGCATTTGAGGTGTAGTGAAATCTTTGCTGTTCACCAGATGTAATGTTTTAGTTCTTTACAATCGGGGTGGGGGGAAGGGCGTGCAAAAACTAACATTGATATTTTGAAACAGCAGCAGAGTGAGTGAATTTTATTTTTGTTCATTGTTGGTGGTTGGTTTTTTTTGTTTTGTTTTTTAAAAAAAGAAAGAAAAAACCATGTAATTATTGTGAACACCTTGCTTTTGTGATCACTGTAACATTGGGGAGGGGTGGGACAGGGAGGAGTGTAACAATAACAATAGTCCACATGTCCCTGGCACTCTATTCAGAGCAGTGTGCACAATATAATGCTCTTTTGTAAGAAACGTTTTATGATTTTTAAATAAATTTAGTGAACATATTTTTGGTGGTCTTTTTTTCCCCCCATGAAGATATTTTCAAATGGCCAAGTTTCTTCAGCTTACCCCAAACCAAACACTAACATTTTCATCTCCTCTATTGGGTATAAATTGCTTTCTTCCTGGACATAAGCAAAATATTTCAGCATATTTCATGCTGGTAACCTGATGATGGAAAAGTGTTGCTGGGGTGAATTCCCTTTAAATATTTACAAAAAAGCCTAGGGGTTTTTTTATTTACCAGAGGTTGGTAGTGATGGAGAAGAACCAAAAGCAGCAGTACTGCAAATTTGATAGTAGTTTGAAAATATACCAAAAGCTTGATAATCCAGCAGGTTTATTAACCAGAATACCGCTGAGTTAGGAAGTGACTTTGATGCTGGTTATAAATTGATTATTTTTTATTAGACTTTTCACCTATAGACTTAAGTTGTCAACTTGATAGTGTCTATTAGTTAAAACTTTGTAAAATATATATACTTGTTTTCCCATTGTATGCTTGAAAGATGTACCATTTTTTCATTGTATGTTGGATTATGTAGGAAATGTTTGCAAACAATTCAAAAAGATGAAAAACAGTTCTGTAGATGTTTCTGTGTCTTGACCTTTGTATTAAGATTAAAATTTGACTTTAAAAAAAATAAAACTTCCATGATGCTAGACTTGGTTGGTGTGTGCCAAATTTGAACTGGAGGGTGAGTGATACATAATAAGTGCTGAAACGTTCCTATAAGGAAATAGCTATTGTAGAGATTTCTGCAGCATATTTACTCTTTAATCTGTAGCATTCGTGAACATTTTAGTTGAGCTCATTGTTTAATGAGAGCTTAGTAGTTTACAGTTTTATTCAATTGTGAGAAATTTTGGTGCTCAGTTTGTCTTCATAATAAAGTGGCCACTAATTTGAGAATGGTGAAGGAGTATGGATCCTAACTTATTAACTAACATATTATGTAGACAACTTCCAGATGTCAAAGAAGCTGAACAGTAAGGAACTTTACATGATAATTACATCACCTAAATACTACCCTCAATCCTACAAAACATAGAATGCCTTGTATTGACAAATGGTGAAGTTACTACCACTATTTGGGTGTCTGAACATGGATTGGGAATTAGGATGAGTTGAAAAAGATTCAAGGGAGCATTTTAGGTTTTTAAACATAGAAAATTGTGTGTAAAGTAGTATTGGAAAGATTTTTCCCTTTTGATGCTGCTGGTATATTGGAACTGACTCTGCTTTTTCTGGGGCAATAAATTTCACAGGGAGAGATTACCCAGCCTTCTCCCACAGGTCACCTAGTGGATTTAAACTATACAATTCCTCAGCATGAAGCCATCAGAGCAGCCCGTCTCTTACATTATGGGGTGGGTTTAGTGGCAGTGAAATTTTAGAAAGCTTGTGATCATTTCTGCAAAATTTCAAAACTGTAAAGGTGGTTGCTTAAAAATTCCTGAGCTGCTCTTCAACTATACTGGGTCTACTGATAAATTGGTGGTCAACATAAGATGAAGAAACTCAAAGTCTAATATATAAAGTTGATAATGAGAAGACCCACACTTAATAAAGGATACCTAATGCATTAATTAAAATGATTTTTTAAAAATATAAAACACTTGTTAGGTGCCATCGAGTCACTTCAACATAGCAACCCTATATACAAAATGCCTGAACTGTCCATGCTAATGGTACTGCCTCTGACACACCCACCCTGATTACCCCAGTCACTGAATCGATGCACCTCATAGAGGTCCTTCCTCTCCTGCTTCCCTCCCAAGCATGTCTCCAAGGACTGGTCCCTCACAACATGTCCAAATTATGTCAGATGAAGCTTCAGAATCCTTGCCTCCAAGGAGCCACCCAGTTTAACCCTCTCCAGGATGAATCTTAGTCCATGGTACATTCAGTACTCCAGCACCACAGTTCAAAGGCATCAGTTCTATTCTCCCTAGTCATTGTCCAACTCTGACGCGCAACAAGTGATTGCAAAGACTTTGACTTGTATCAGATGCACCAGTCTCTAGAGAGACACCATTGCTCTTCAATACTTTGGAGAGGTCCCTAACAGCAGACTTTACCATCTCAATACATCTCTTCATTTCCTGGCTGCTGGTGCCAAGAGTGTTGACGAGCCAAGCAAACTAAAGTTGTGAACAATCTCAATCTCTTCACCATCCATCCTGATGATACCAATTGGTCCAGTGGTGACCATCTTGGTCATCTCAACATTGAGCCTCAATCCATAGTGGAGGCTACAGTCCTTGAACCTCTACAGCAAGCCCTTCAGGTCCTCCTCACTTTGCACAAGCAGGGTTGTGTCTTGCATCTCGCAGATTGTTGATAGATCTTCCACCAGTCCGAGTATAAGTTTCACATTAGCACAACCAAGTGTTCTGGGATTCCCATTTTTTTCCGAGTCAGCCACAGTTTGCTAACCACACAGTCAAGTAAAATTTAAATCCCACTACTTTGGTTCAGATACTTGGAACCCAAAAGTTTAATTGAATGAACTTACTCATGACCTGCAGCAGATTTTCAGAGGCTGTTAAATTGCACAAGGGATTGACATCTTTTACCCACTGGTTTAATTCTAATCTCCAGCTAGGGACAGCCTTTGTTTTAGCAGTGTTGTGGCGCACCAGAGTCCAGTTCTAGTGCCGCCTTCACATCATTACTCCTTTGAAACGATGAAGCCACCCTCCAGCAGGTTTTCATAGGCTAATAATTTCCATGACAGGAGATTCCCATCTTTGTCCTTTGGAGCATCTGTTACTTTCCTTTGGGTTGGCAGCTAAATTAGTTCCACCTAGGGCACCAGAGTTCCTGACAGTTCAATTCGTTTGCCTTCCAGTGGAGTGTGACTCATAGCTGCCCTATGAACAAAAGGTCTGAAGCCTCTCCACAACTCTGAACATTTATCAAAGTTCCTAAGTGTTTCTGGTGTACATTTCCATAGCTTGTCTATGGAAACCCTATGAATCTGGAGAGAGGATGAAAAGACACCCAAGTGTTGAGGACTCCCCTTCATAGGGTCGCTATGAGTTGGCTGCGACTCGACGGCACTTAACAGCAATAACAGCAACATAGAGATCAGCTGGCCCAGTTTCATTGTTTTTGTTCAGACATTCCTCTAGGTCGTATAGCCTTGATGTACAAGTTGCCACCATACTGCGGTCACTTGTGGTTGCTGTGAGGCTGAACACTGTGACACTGATGTGTCAAATGCGTTAATGGCTGGTTACCCAATGCGGACAGAGTAGGGTGGAGCTCCCCGATTAAAAGATTAAAACAAGCTTGGAGGCGGGAGTGGCATCCACTTCCATAATAGCTTGCCTCCGGGCACCCTATGAGCCTGGAGAGAGGATGAAAGACACCCAAGCATTGAGAACTCTCTCTCCTTCATAGAGTCGCTATGAGTCGTGAGTCGCCTGCGACTCGACGGTACTTAACAACAACAGGGCATCAGAGTTCCTGACAGTTTGTTTGCCTTTGAATCGAGCATGACTCATACATAGCTGCCCTATGAACAAAAGGTCTGAAGCCCCTCCACAACTCTCAACATTTATCAACGTTCATAAGAAGCAATTTGTTTAAGAAGTGGATGCCACTCCTACTTCCAAACCTGGCATAGAATTTTACTGCTTGGGTTGCCTGCAATGCATTGCAAACCAATCAATGTACAGCAGCTTTGAACTCCCCTGTCCTGAGCCAATCTCGCTAATTGTCTGACACACCAACTCCCATTGCCCCAGTTATTGTATCCATCTCATCCTTCTCTCCCTCTTCTGTGCTGTCCGTCTACCCTTTCGAGTATGTTGTCCTTCTCCAAGGATCGATCTCTCCTGGCCACGTGTCCAAAGTAAGTGAGGTAGTTGTTGTTGTTATGTGCCGTCGAGTTGCTTGCAACTCAGCGACCCTATGTACAACAGCCCTAAACTCTGCTCTGTCCTGTGCCAATTGCATTGTCTCTCACACTCCCATCCCGATTATCCCAGTCACTGAATCAATCCACCTCATAGAGGACCTTCCCCTCCTGCACTGTCCCTCCACCCTCCCAAGCATG